CTATATGTATGCATGCATGTTCCTCAAGGTAGCTTGGACTTGTCCAGGCTGCCTCTGTGGGACTCTCCTGGTATTGGTCAGGCATTCTTGGAGATTGCTCTTTCTTCATGCTAGTCCTGGGCTCTGCTCACTTCTTACACTTCAGAGTAGGGTCTAGGGTAAGTGATAAGTGCTAAAATAGTGTTTTGCTTTTTCAAAACAGAATGTATTTGCTAGATAGATAATATTATAAAAATAGTATATTTTCTTAATTCTAAACTTGGCAAATTTCCAGAATTTGTATATTTCTGCAATTGCATTAGTGTTGTCTTCATAGAAGCTTCTGATGAACTTGTAGAATTTGGTTCTGTCATCCTGTCTATATCTCCAGTGCTGCCTGAGGACAAATTTTCACACACAATTTTAGTGGTTCTTTCCTTTCTGTATGTTGGTTTCAGATTGTATTGGAATAGTTTTTTTCTAAAGTTATACTGTAGAAACTATTAAGGAATTTGACTGGGGAAATTGAAATTTGAGAAATGTGTTAAATTTAATTTCATTTTAAAAATATTTGTTGCTCTTTCCTGGAAGAGGATTAAACATTCTCACCCTGATGACATACAGGTTGGCAATGAGGCCTGGCCAGTGAAAGAGGTGGTAAGTATAAGTGGCATCTCAACTACAGCATCCCACAGTTTGTGGATAGAAAGAACTGAGTAACTATGTAGCTAGTGAAAAAAATTCATTGTTGTAAATCACTAGGTTTGGGGAGTGTTTGTTTCTGTGGTGTAACATAAGCCATAGTGACTGAAACAAAGATTATTTCACCCACAGTGGAGAAAGAAGAAAAGGAAATTATAACTGGCATGGTCTCATACTGATATCAAATCACAAACCAAGAGTCAGTGTTGAAATTCCTTCACTAAGATCTTAAATCTGCCCTATAATTTCAAACTAAGTAATGCAGTGAAGATACTGAGTGCTTTGTATATTAAACTCAGTTTCGGAGCCTGGGGAACTAAATGGTGCTATTTTCACCCATTGGTATGGGGACGAATTTGTTGTGTGGCTTGTGAAGTAGAGTTTTATTCAGCGTTGCCATTGCACTCTTCACAAGTATCTTGAGGAATGTATGGCTGTCAACCAAGATCTAACTTCAGTGAATATCAGTAATTAGATTTTAACAAGAAGGACAACAATTCAGGAAGGTGACCACTGATATTTGGAGGGAGCACCAAGTAAAGATTCATGCAAATGGAATTGGATAAAGAACTTTCTCAACAGCCAGGGGAAGGTATTTTCTAAACACAGTGGATTTGAATCTGTAGTCAAGAGGTAATGGGCAAATATTGAAGGCAATGAAAATATGCTTGACTAGACACTAGCATGCCTATGCAGAGGCATGGTAAAAATTAAAGCAAGTTAGTTGTAGGGACATGAAGAAACCATCATTCCATTTATTTTAATCCATTTGACAACACCGGAGAGTTTTGAGTATAGGATAGTGTTGATGTCCTCTTGTATTTCTGAAATATATGTGTGTGATGGAGGGTCTGGGCCTGCAGATTACAGGCCTTCAAGAGAGTACTCAATGGCATGGCATGCACTCCACAATTATATGGAGTGGACTGTACATCTATGCCAACTCTTGTTTCATAGAAGTTTCAATCCGCTGATGGTATTTGAAAAATGGAACAAAAATTCAGTGTAGAATTTCACCTCATGTCAAACTCTGAAATGATTGCCAACCCTCAGAATAGGTTAGTCAGTTGGTGAATATGTCATGAACTAAGACTAAAACAAGGTTTAGAAGTCATAAGGAATCCAGTGTGATGGCACATTCTTATAATCCTTGTTTCTTGGAAGGCTGAGGAAGGAGGATCCCAAGTTCAAAGTCAGACTTAGTAACCTTCAGAGATACTGGGTCCATGTGTAAAAGCATTTTTGGAAACAGGACTGGAGCTAGAACTCAGCTGAGTCCCTGCATCTAACCCACAGCAGTCAAAAGAGAAAAAAATAATAGATATAATTACACACAAAAAGGTAAATGTCTCTATGTCCCCCATTCAAAACCATTAGAAGTTTGTTTTTAATTTTATTTACTTTTAATTTATTTATTTGTTGTATGAGTGCTCTGCATATGTATCTGCTCACCAGAGAGGGCATCATATCCTATTATTAATGGTTGTGAGCCACCATGTGGTTGCTGGGACTCAAACTCAGGATCTCTGGAAGAGCAGTCAGTGCTCTTAACCTCTCTGAGCTATCTCTCTAGCCTCCCCCCCCCACCCTTTTAAAACATATACCTGGAGAAATGCTTACCTAGAATCCAAGTGAGGATTTATATGGACAGGAATAAAATGAAAAGGCAAACAAGAAAAACTGAAGGCAATTATGAGACAGTAAGATTAAATACAGAGAAAAAATAGACACACCAGAAATATTCAACTGAAGAAATTAAGGTTGCCAATGTAGCTCAGTGGTAGATCTCTTACCTATAAAGTGATTGAAATGGCAGGTTTTACCTTATGGAAATTGTTAAAAGTCAAGAAGCACCCAGCAGTGTCATGCTTGCTGGGGAAGGTGGAAGTTGGAGAAAGTGCTGATGGGGACAAGGCACTATGGGCCACCGTTACAAAGTAAGCTAGTAACTGTCAAAAAAAAGCCCCATGCACTAGCCAGGTAGTGTGTAAAAATCAGTCTACCACAAGAGCACTCTGCATGAAGTCGTCCTTAAAAATACTGTTTATAGGTTTTGGAGAAGTGGAAATCACCTAACTCGGCAACATTCGGGAACTCCTATTTATAAACCAGTTTTCATGTATATGCATTCGGTGAGACATTGGGAAGAATTTGAATTGTGTTTACACATATTTTGTGTCATTTGTGACAGTGTTGATGTTAATGTTGACAATGTGATATGTGCATTTGATCGGGCCTTTCAAAGCAAACCTCACAGATACACTAGAAACAACGGAGGAAGTTCCATGCAGCTAATCTTTAAACGCCGAGTCTAGGAATTGGTTTGTTTTCTTTTCATATAATTCAGGCTGGAGGCAGTCATAGCCTAAAATGGGAAATCTTCACATACAATAATAGGCATATGAATGAATGATCCTGCTGCAAAATACATGCATGCAGGGACAAACATACAGGAACATAGAGCAAAGTGTGGGAAAGGCACATTCAGGGTGTGGGAAAGTAGAAACCTGTCAGTTTTGAAGTAACAGTATAGGAGAGTCAAGGTCACCTGATGCTTAAATTGTAAGCCAAAGCCTTTAAAACTGAGGCTTTCAACAGTAAAAGATTCTCAGTGACCAAGATTGACTATGTAATGGATCTATGATGGATTTGTTGTTATTGTCGTCATCCTCATTTTGTTTTGTTTTGTTTTGTCTGCAGTGCTCAGCAGTATTGCATTCCACAGCTTCACTGTGGCCTTCGTTTGCACTGTGCATGCTGTCATACCACACAATGCCAACTAAATGTTGCTTAGACCACTTTGGCTCAGATTCACGACAGTGCGTGTTAGAAACATCAGTATTTTGATTACACATATTCAGTTTTCTAGTGTTTTAGAAACATAATGGCTTAATTACGCAAAACAAAAGGTTTTTCATATTGTCATAGCATTATCCCTCAGATGTAAGTGTCAAACCAATATAACTTTGGATCATATTGTGTTTGAATGTTTGGGTTTTAAAATTGCTGTTTGAGTTTTATAAAAATCATTGAGTTTGGGCTTGAGTTTAGGATGGAATTCCTAGCTTTCTGAGATGGACTTGAACATGATTCTGGTATTTTGTACATATGTATGTGCAGTGCCATTTGGAACACTGAGGATAAGACATTGCTTAACTCTGCAAACATCCAAGATGCTCTTTGCCTTGCAGCATCAATATTCATCCAGAATCCAGTTCTTTATGTAACAATAAACAGGTGTCTTCATCTCCCTGGTGTGCCAACATGCTTTTTCCTTCAATAAGTAGTAAAATTACACACATCAAAGATTTCTTTTAAACTGAATTTCTTGGTGGTTTATGAATAGTAAACACTGATTATACACCTGTACACTTGAAAGCACGAAACCATTTCTCAGATGAGAAGAGGTGATGTGGGAAAGTCTAAGAAGCTCTGATTAGACTATCTTGGGAAGAGAGACCCCTGTCCCTCAATAGATTGGGGGAGGGGCCAAGAAGTAGGTGGTTAGAAAGTCCCTTGGAACTTTCACTTTTGCCAACCTCATTTCAATCAAGGACATAGGGAGCTGGGACAAGCATGACACTTAGAACTGGTGATGTGATGTTGAAATGAAGGAGAAAGCATAAGTTATACTTTCCTTATTCAGATAAAAGCTACAAAACAGGGTGAACAAATGCCATATTAATGTGGCATCCCCAGGATCTGCTTTTGCACTCCTGGTGGCAGTAGTAATTAGAGCCCAGGATACAAATCCCAGGATGATTACTGGAATTTGCATGCTAGAAAGTGCTTTGCTAAGGTTCTCCTTTGTGCTATTGCTGTGGCCAGGAGGGAACCCTACTGAACTACATTTCCTTCCCACCCATCCAGCTCTACGTGTTATTGAACTATCCTCGATCCTGTAGTCCAGAGCCCGTGACTCCAATGCTCTGGATGGGCAGATAACATGACTTGTTACAGCAGTTTTGCCTAGTAAAGTCTTGTACCAAAGTTCCTTTCTCTTCCAAGGATAAAAAGTGAACAGTCATCAGTGAAAAACTGAACAGAACATTTTTTGTTATTCTGTCCTCCAATCCTAAAACCTCCCCAGAAGCAGCTCTCAGCTCAACATTTGGCCTGAGAACAATGTCCTCATTATTCATTATCTTGCAAAATGGTATATACTCCTTGCTCCAGTCCTCTATAAACATTATTCCAAACTGCATGGTAGTGGGTGGCTTCTCAGTTCATGGAGTTTTCAGGTGCATGCTCTTGACCTTTGGAAGTGGGAGCAGACTGCCTGCCATGCTCTTCACTGTGCTCTTGTGTGTTTACTGTAGGTGCCTATCCTCGACTCTCATTGAGTTTTCGGTTGAAGAGAAACATTGGTTACTTCATTCTTCAGACGTATATGCCCTCAATACTGATCACAATACTCTCGTGGGTGTCCTTCTGGATCAATTATGATGCATCTGCTGCTCGAGTTGCCCTTGGTATGTGCTTCTGTTAAGTCCTATTTAAAATGTAAAGTGACCACATCATTATGGTATTAAGGGAATTTAAAGGCCAGAGTGCAACTACAATTTCTTCACATCATGACACCAGCTTCACCCACATAGTCACGTTTTATCTTGAGACAGTAATTTCACGCATGAGTCCCTTGATGTGTTAATTTAATTATAAGAACCAAATGTGAATTTCCATGTCCCTGAAAGGGAAAATATGTTTTTGGAATATTTACATCTTCTAACTATTTTTGACACTTGATTTTAAAGTAAGGATTAATATTGCCTGGTCAAGATGATTCCACAGACAGAAAGATTTGATACATTTGAGCTTTCTTCTCTTTCAAGTCACGGAAAAAAATCATCAAATATTATAGCACATAATTGAAATTACACAATGTAATGAGCATTAAAATAAGCAACTAATTGTGAGTAATTTTCATGAATCCCAGTGAAGTTTGCTGCCCATTGCTTATTTAATAATGAGATTATTAATTGATACACAATATATCTTATAGGTTATGACATTATTTTTAGGATTTTCTTATTAAAGTAAAGCTTATATTTTCAGGAGCGCTAGTCTCTGCTCATCTAATTATTACGAAACTTCATGGACAGAGTTATTCCGTAAATACATCAGTGGACGAGGTGATGAGCCATGCCCAGACCAGTCTTTCTCTGGGTTCAATAGAGTTTATGAAGATGGACCTAACAATGGAGCTTTCAAATATTGCAGGCAAAGAACTAGCAACACATTTGCTGGCAGAGCACCTAACACAAAGGCATAGTCCAGGGCTCCACCTCTCCCTCTCGCCTTCTTCGGCTGTTTGCCAGCTTCTGTCATTTTATTTTCTAAGACAGTGTACATGTGTGAATGCTTGTGCTAGATCTACAGCTATGTAACTTGCACAAGTGTCTTCTGGGGTAGACTTTTTTCATAGCCCAGTTCCTGAAGTTGTCCCATGTGTAAACTCTGGGAAGAATGAGGTATCCGGGGACTAGGACTTCTGTATTAGAATTGCTTTGTACTTCTAAAGGGGAAAGTTTTTTTTTTTTTAATTTTATTTTAATCTTAGTTTTCTGTGCAACTGGTAGAGGTTGTCTGCGGGTTTTACTTCCGCATGGTTTTAGTAGCCCCACATGCCTCTTTCCTAGACTAGTTGATTTTTTTTCTTTTTTGCATCCACAAAACTAAGAGACTGAATTTGTAGGGACAGATCCAAAGGCTGCCGTTGTTAGTTTATTCAGTTTGAGGTTCTCTCTTTATGGAAAATTGTAAACAAATGGAAAGTTCCTGGGACCCCCCCCCCAACTCAAAGCCTGGAAAAGACACATCTACACTGAAATGTCATGAGCTTCAGAGTTACTCTATTGCTGAACAGTGCTTATAACTATTAGGAAGAACCAAGGAGGCAAGGGATGCAAGGGATGAAACATACAGCAGATGTGACCCTCTGAACTCTGCCTGCTACTACAAACTCTGGGCCTGCTTACTTGTAAAGTGTCACCACAACAGGAAACAGGTAGTCTAAATGGATGAGAGCAATACAGCTTCCTCATGGCGAAGGGGCTTGCTTTCATGTTTTTTTCCTGATACCTTGCTGATCTAAGCAGAAATCATGTCTTAGGGACTCCACTGGCATGGTGCATCACAGGCTGTGCCTCTAGAGAGCTGTGAAGTCAGATCAGCATTAGAGGCTCAAGAGGCAGGTAACAGGGCTATAACAGAATGACTCTTTATAGAAGTCTAGTGATCCTGTTTCCCTGAGGGCCACAGGCTGCGATCCTAAGGCCAGTGGGGGCTGTCCAGATAAGAACCCAGCAGGTCAATGGAGACATCACCCTCAGAGGAGATTATGTAGGTTTTTGGGGGGAATCCTGTCAGTTTTCAAAGAACAGTTATAATGCCTTGCCCTACCATTTGACTTCCTGAATTGCTATGTCATCTTTCCCGCTCATATGTACAGCAATATGATGCTGATTACCATTATAGGACACCAAGGTAGTCATTCTTTCCTCATTGCTGAGTGGATAATAGATGCTGGTGATTATATCTTGGGAGTGGGAAAAACAGTAGTGGTGAACATGGCAATTTTTTTTTTTTGAAGAATGGTGAGAAGGTCTAATTTTGTAGCTTTTGCATGGTGTTTTCACATTTATTTGTAAACTGTAATTATCCCATTGCCACATTCAAATTTTTAAAAGTCCCCAGGTGCACATGAATATAACGTTAAAGGGAGTCTTACAATATTCTGACATCTGAGATTTCTAAACATTCTACAAGCAACTGTGGTTTGCAATTATATATAAAAATAGTTTCTTGCATGTTCTCACTTTTCCATAAGTAACTGGTCAGTGTTTTGAAGTGTATATGAAACCATATATATATATGGTTTCAAAATGTGTTATTTTGCTACATTTCTGTTTTGAAATCCTAAAAGAGGGTCAATGTATCATTTGATTTTACTAAAATGTTTGAGGTTTTCTGTGAATATTTTCAAATATTAGATACGATTTTTCACTCACAAACTTCTCCCAAGGGAAAAATCTTTTTTATCTTAAAGTTTTAATTAGCTGTCAAGGGGAAATTTCTTTAGTATTCTTAAGAAAGTACATGTAGGTGACACACAGTTGAAATCTTAGACTTTTTCTCTTAAGGGATTTAAAAAAAATAGTTTCTTGCTTCTTTGGGCTTCTGTGCTGTTAGCAATCTCTTAGGGTCAGGGTCACAGGAGTGTCCTGAAGAAGCCTTACCTTGCTTCTCTGCTGCTTTTCCATTATGGAAGGCTGAAATATACAGCCCCAGGCCAGCTCTGAACACACATACTTCTGGGAACAGATGGGCATCCAGGGGGCTGCAAACCAAGACAATAAACAGAAGCCCTCCCCTACAGTCCTGACTCTACCTCAGAAACCTCACCATGCCACTGCTGCCTTTTAGCTCCAGTCACACCACTGATGTGCATATGTGCAAGTGAGCATGCATATGTCTGTGTGTTAATAAAATGAAAAAACAATCACTGCCAGTCTCTCCCCTTTGAGCATCTTCTTAAGGGAGTAGACCCTTACCTGGGAATGGAGGGTGAGTATTCAGCCCACACTCAGGGATGTTGGTGCATTAATGGAAAAGGCTGGTCTTTAAATCTGGGCCTTCAAGCATCTACCTTCCCTTTGCAACATAACGAGTCCTGAGGCAGGTTTGAAGCTTGTTCTTGCTGTGACACTCAAAGATTAGTGACCTACTCAAACACAACTTCCCTGTGTTCAACAAGACCTAGTCATGTCTGCTCAGCATGTCCTCTGATGACTGTGGCCTCAGCTCACTTAATTTGTAATCTCTGTATAGAAGGTACTATGTCTCCTGCTGTGGAGGGACAGTTACAAAATATGCTGCTTATTTTGTCTTAAGGACTACAACCAACTGCGGAACGCAGACGCAAATCCTCTATACAGAATTCTGTAGAGAACCCAGAAGAGTGCTTACAGAGGATCTTCTTGGTGTTTAAACCTGAGATTTCAATAGGAACAGAATCCTCACACCTCCCTGAGAGCTAACCTTCTCACCCAGCTGGTGGACACTCCTTCTTGCCTGAGAGAAATGGTTCCAGAGTAAATCTGCCCCCTGGCTCTATCAGCCCTCCCTCTTTGAGCCTAGAACTGGGTTTCCCTCTAATCAGGAAAAACCCCTCAGACTCTGTTTTCAGAAAGCCCTGGAATGGGAAAGGTAACCCACTCTTAGCTTCCCTGGTGGCCAAGTCCCTGTGGCCACAATCCACTGTCCTCTTCCTGATGTATTGTAACCAGACACTCAGTTCTATAGTTACATTCTGGGGCTACCTGCATTTGTTCTAAAAACTCAAGGGAGAGCATTCTTTCGAGATGGCCCAGACATCTTGCCTTCCACTCTCTCCAGATACCCTTCACTGTGTTTGAGGAGGCCTCTGCAGGTTTGCTTCCCAAGTGGAGATGTCTGCCTGCTGCTCCGAAGTGTGATGTTCTGCCACAAAACACATAGCTTGTTCTGGGGGCAGTCAGCACAGGGTCTTAGAAGTCATTGCAATGGGAGGGCTGGGACATGAGAGGAAGTACTCATGCTGTGTTTGTTTCTTAGGGATCACCACCGTGCTCACCATGACAACCATCAACACTCACCTTCGGGAGACTCTGCCCAAAATCCCCTATGTCAAAGCCATCGACATGTACCTGATGGGCTGCTTCGTCTTTGTATTCCTGGCCCTTCTGGAATATGCCTTTGTCAATTACATTTTCTTTGGAAGAGGTCCCCAAAGGCAGAAGAAGCTTGCAGAGAAGACAGCCAAAGCCAAGAATGATCGTTCAAAGAGCGAAAGCAACCGGGTAGGCTTTCCATGGTTTGGGCATGCCAGCCCTGCCGTACCTAACCTCCCAGTTCACCTCCAGCAAGCTGGGCAGGTGGCCCTGCCTACCATGCTGTAAATCTTTCCTAGTGCAAGCCTCCAGGGTTCCTATCTAACTAATGGTGGAGCAGGTGCTGGAGAGGCCCAACTTCCCTTCCTATCTTCCTTTAAAAGGAACAGATTAGAATCAGGAGTGCCAATACTCTGGAATGTGGCGCTCTTGCCTGATATGGAAAAAGTCATTTTCCAAAAGAGCTCAATATTCCTTTACTTGTAAGATTACCAGTTCACTCATTCAGCCTGCCCCCATGGTTGCCAGTGCAATAAGAAGTCCAGTCACTGGCCCATCCTTCTTGTCACTCACAGTCACATTAAGACTGAAGAACATTAAGCATGAAGGCACCAGGCAGTGCAGGCTTAGGGGGTCTGCAGAGCTCTCACCACAGCTTCGCACTCTGCCAGAGACCCAGAGTCCAGCTCAGAAATGCTCACCTGCCAGTCACAAAGGGACTTGGCATTGGCTACATTCACTCTTAAAGCATTGTTATTAAAATGAGATTTTAATGAGATGTTATAGTTTCAGTTTTTTTTAATGTACTCTTTTACTTCTTACATCTCCTCACATCCTCAAGAATATATTTCTACAAGGTTGAAGAAGACTTATACCTTCATTCCTTTCCTTTTGTTGTGTTGTTTAATTCATCCTTTGGAATCTACTTATTTTCAAGCCCTTGGAGATTTCCTTTCATTTTCCTGTGCATTTGTGTCAGCATGGATCCCTAATGCTACGTGACATGGGGTGGCAAATACGCATGAATGGATGGAGTCCTGACAGTGAGTGAAAGTGGCCCCTTCGCATCTGTAAAACATAAATGAAGTTGGTCTCTGAATAGAACTAGGTTTTCCACAGACAAAATTATCTTCAATATCTTACTTTAAAATCTACTCTGTTCCAGACTGTGTGTTTCTATGGAGATCACGCTGTACTATGAATGCACAATATGTCTTGGCCTTGGTGTTTCTAAGGAAACGAGAATTAATCACACCATGTTGTCTCTGTAGCCAAGCACATGTACAGATGCATACATGAACGGTGTTCTTTACTTTCCTTCTGTATTTAACAGTTGCAGCTTTCTTTCCTTTTCTTTAAATGAGACTGTTTAGAACTGTTGAACTATCATTGTTCAGAAACATCTTTTTGAGTGTGAAGTACAAAATTTATAGAAAAGACTCAATCCTATAACACTCACAAATAAAATTACCTGAACAGAGAAAGAATATCAATTAGAGTCAAAGGAAATCCAAAGTTGACTCACGAGTCCATTTTCAGTTTTTCCCCTAAATCTTGTTTCTCTTCTCTGAGCAGTTTCAGTGAGGCCGCTGTATGTTCATATTTCTCAATATACATGAGTCTCATTCCATCCTTACATTTGGAAGCCAGCATATAAACATCAGGTGTTCTCATTTTAGACATCTGTTTGATGCTTTCACAGTTAAGCATTAAAACTCATTCCTCCCTCACCTAACAGATGAGTGATAATTTTTAAGGAGAAACAGACTCCTCCAAAAGTTTGTATAAAGGGATGTAGGGTGAGTATGAGAAACCTAAGAGCCACAGACTTCATCCCAGACGGAAAAGGCTCAGCATGAGGGGTAGCAGTGGAAGTGTCCATCTAAATAGTCCCCTTTTAGTTTTCAGTGGTTACACTTGGCTCTGGGTTATCAGTGTGACCAGCTGCAGTTTTCCCTAATAGGGAAACTGTCAATTTACTGCAAGGAATCTGCTTCTTCCTGTCTTTCCTGAACAAAAAAACCTTTCTTAACTGGAATCTGGAAGGTATGTGAAGAATTGACTGAGTGTCAATCTAGTGACAAAGTCTAGAAAAGAAAAACTCTTCTGTGATATTTTCTGCATGAGATGTTTTTAATTTTGGAGAGCTGCACCTGTCCAGGTTCCGAGCAGAAGAAAAACCTCCATTGACATCATTGGCTCTAATTATAGTCAGTGTGAGCTGGACCCTTCGAAATAACAAGACTTCATGAAACAATTTAAAAATTGCAAGCCACCTGACATTCTGAAAAAGGAATGTCAGCCTTGGATCTCCCACAGTTACTTATTTCTCTCTTGAGACCTACATTCTAGATGGTAAAGACAAGAGGAAGAGGCCACCTTCTCTTTTAGGAACACTGATTTTAAGAATGAGACCTCTACAAGTTAATAAAATTTAATACCCTTTCAACATTTCAGCCAAATTAAAAAAATCCAGCAATTTTCTGCACATTGGTTCATGTTTTAATGAAACCCGTGTGATAACAACTCCATAAGCAAAGCAGCCATTCTATTTTAAGCTGAGATGTAATTCAATGTATCTTTGCATTCTTTTTCACACCAGAATAAGTATTATTTGTGATAGTACTTCCATTGCAGGGCTTCAACCTCTCCTGAAGTAGAATTGAATACAATCATGTAGATTCTTGAGTCCTGTCTTGGGAGAATTCCAAGATAGCTACAAACATATCCTCGACATTCAGAGAAGCCAAGAGAACTTCACCAATTGGTGAAGTTTTATTCTTTAATTTGCAAACTACTAACACATTCCTAAGGCAGCATGGTCTCCCTTAAACTAGAATTCCTTCATTGAAGTCCAAAGAAACAGATTACCACCTTCATTAGATCACCTCCCAAACACACAACCGTGGTCACAGGCGTTTAGGAAAGAGGACACTGACTCACAGATCTGTCCCTATATGTTAAAACACCCTCCTGATCTCCTCTACCTTTAGTCTCCCTGCATGGTTTCTGAACTGCCACATATGCCACCTCTGCTTTTCCTTTATTCTGTTAACTCACCTCTTGACTGACATCTTCCCTTCCTCAACACTCAAGTCAGATGTCCCTCTCCACAGATTGGTCCTTTTTTCTTTCCTAGCAGTGTTTGCACCTTGCTTCTGTCACTCTATGTCCCAGGCCACTGTTTATATTGTTGTTCTCTCAACTTCCAGCACATTCTCTGTCCATGAGAAAGGGTAGATCACTTAAATTGTTTCCGCTACCAGGCTGCACCTAGTTTCTTGCTCCTACTAAAATCCGCATAGCCTGACTGCAAAGTGGCAGATGCTCATGTCAAGTGGCATTCATCACTGTGGATCTGTTCCTACCGCATTGGTAGGATCCACCCCTCCACACAATTGTTCATTTGGATTCCTTAGATTCTCATAAAAATGAACTTTTCCGTAACATCTTTTGATAGCTAGAAATGTGTGTAAGATTCTTTAGTAAAATGTATTTATAGATTGTTGGAAGTTCCCACTTGAGAGGAGGAGTCCCTGCTTTCATCTTCTTGGGTCATTGCCTGGCCCATGCATGACCCTGGTAGGAAGCAGGTATGTACTTCCACTTTTTGTGAATGACCTCAAATAATGCATACCCCTCTTGTGTATGTATGTCCCCAGAGAGGCACCAGGGTAGCTCGTGAGCCCTTTATTGCTCTGTTTTCCTCTTTTAAAATAGCATGGGAATAAAGAATATTTTCCTATAGCTACTAATATTTTCTGAGTTTTTTTTTACCTTGGAGGGAAATTGTTAAGCTTTCTGAAATACTAAATAATGTAGTGAATGACTTGTTACTACTATGGAAAAGAGTAAGTTCTACATTGGTACTTTAAGAAGTCAGTCTCTCCCTCTTTGGGATATTCTGTGACACAACTTTGGGAACAAAGTAGCTTTTAAAGATTTCAACTTACTGTATTTGTAGATGTTTTAAAATGTGGAACACACAAAAAGAATGAAATTAAACCCTAATTTAATGTGGGCCCCACTTAATATACGTCATGGTGAGTGATCGTACTGTCTCCATGACTGAAAGCCAGGCATTGGGTAGAACTGTGGCCATCTTTACTGCAGTCAAATGAAGAAATGAAATAAACTAAATGGCAGGATATACCTGGCTGAGTCCCTTCCCAGCCCCTCTCTGAGTCAAGAAGCCTTGTGAGCATCCTTCCTTCGCTGACCTTTCTTTAGGCTGTAAGCTCTCTGGGCTCTGACCTTCACACTTGCTTTAACTATCCTATATGCAAAGACCAGCTCAGCTGTCTCTTCATGGGCTCCTTCCTGCCCCATTACAGGCAGTTCAGGTGGCCCTGCTTAGGTAGAATGAGTGGGTGTGGCCAAGGTTCTCCCACCGCTCATCCTTGCTACTGCCATGCTTCCAGTGGGAGTGAGTGTCCCAGCCCTTCACTGTCCCCTTCTGTAGCTTCAGCTGTATAATCTTGCTGGAACCACTAGAAACTCAGTCTGAAAAAAAGAAATTGTTGGAACAGTCTCCCTAGTTCTGAAGACAGCAAACAGTCCTGGTCATTAAAAGGACTTTATTATCTATCATTCCAGGGGAGATTGGAAAAAAGAAAACCCAACACCCTGACAGGCAATTCAGAGTCCTACACAATCACAACTTTCTCAGTTCTGTAAAACTGAGATATAAGCACCATTAATTCTTAGTGCATCCCAGAGTCATCAAGTCTGGATGTTGTTCGAGAGGGGAACTCTCATCTCATCCTCCATTAAAACTTCGAAGTAAGGAGCCAGCTTATGCATCAGGCACAGGTCCTGGCCCCACTACTAGGGACCCCACAAACAGACCAAGCTACACAAATGTTACCCAGATGCAGAGGGCCTAGGTCGGTTCCATGTTGGCTCCCCAGCTGTCCATCCAGAGTCGGTGAGCTCCCACAAGCTCAGGTCAGCTGTCTCTGGGTTTCCCTGTCATGACCTTGAACCCCCACCACCACCATTGCCCATAAAATCCCTCCACCCTCTCTTCAGTTGAACTCTCAGAGTTTGGCCCAGTGCTTGGTTGTGGATCTCTGCAACTGTTTCCATCAGTTACTGGGTAAAGGTTCTATGATGACAATTAGGTAGATTACAGGAAAAAATCCAGTTCAGGCACCCTCTCCACTATTGCTAGGAGTCTTAGCTAGAGTCATCCTTGTGGATTTCTGGGAGTTTCCCTGGTATCAGGTTTCTCCATAACCCCATAAAGACCCCCTTTCTCAAGATGTCAATTTTTAAAAAATGATGGGAAAAAAAACAAACTCAAAAAAAAAAAAAAAAAACCTTCCAAGAAAAAAAAGGCAAGCTTAGTGACCCATACCTATAATTCAAGCACATAGGAGACTGAGGTCAGAGGACTACCATGAGAGTGAGGCTATCCTGTGCTCTGGAGTGAGTTCTTGGTTAGCCTAGGTTAGACTGAGACACTGCTTTGAAAAACAGACAATAAAACCAACCCAAATCAGAACCTCCAAGATACAGAACCAAGCTGCTACTGCTGCTGCTGCTGCTGCTGGCACACTAGCTACCCAGAGGCCAAACAGAGACTCCAGGATCTGTCCAGAAGCAGGAAGAGGGCATCTGTCCACACTGTTAGCCATTCTTTTCAAACTGCTGTTTGTCATGGACACCTGTGCTATTGACTCCCTTGTCACCTCTCAAATTTGGCTTTTATTCTTGAACCTGCTAGTGTGTACTCTGCTTCAGAAACTTTTTTTGTTTAAGCATTACTTTTTGCACTGTATTTTAAAAGCATAGGGTTGGAGTTTCTTAGCATGACATAGAGAAAACCTTACTGGCCCCGGCTCTTATTTACCTTCCCATTCATCACCAAGTGTCCTCTATTATTATGATTAATTAGATGGTGGAAAGATGATAATGGCAGAGAAACAGCAGTAAGATCTCCACCCACCAACAGGCAGAGCATGGGTGGATCCATTATCTTGAGAACTTGAGTCAATTCAGCTAGTTTACTTTACATTGAACGCTTTATTTGGGTCTTTGCTTGTGATGCCTTTCATACTTTGGCCTAAAAAATTTTCTTTCTCTTTGTTCTGTGTTATTTCACATGGTAGGCAATTGCACATCACGCATTTCCCCTCATCCTATGGCATTACTGAGAGTTGCTACGGCAGATTACCATAAATTTAACCAGGGTAAAGCAGCACTCATTTTTATCAGACATCTCAGGTACTAAGAGAGTTGGGCTTGGGTGGGGCAGCCTCTGTCTCACAAGCTAAAACCAAAGTGGCTGAGATAAGAGCTCACAATCAACAGGGGACTGGATAAGAGTGTTGCTTGCTGTCATCTGGGGTCGGTCTTTGCCCCGTGGGCTGTCCTATATCCCCTCATAATGAACCTGTTCTTCCAGATCCTCCCACCAAAGGCAAGTTGAGTCCTCCCTAGACTGTCTCCATCTTCAGACTTGTTTTTCTGCTTCTAACTAGAAACGTTCTCTACTATGCTTAGGAAAGAATATGTAATCATAGTGTGTCCATCCAGTAATTCAAGACAAACTATCGTGAGGGATGTACCCTTAATTGCATCTACAAAGTCCCCTTCTAACCAGCTCTTAAGCTCTGGCAAATGAGAACTGATCTAGCTAGGGCACCGTTAGTTACCTGAGAGGTATTCTCATATCAAAAAGTCATTCAACAGAACCACTAGTGGTTCACAGGAAAATCCACCTACTATGAATCTAGTACTAAAAGAAAGGGTATACAGGCTAGGGACAAAGAAAGGAAATAGGATACAACTCTTCAGGGGAAAGGAAGGACAGAGACAGGAGGATGTAGAGCATGGAACAATAAGTGCTCAGGGGAGCAGGCCATGACAGCTCCAGTCTCATCCCAGAAGGAATTCCACCAGGGACCCTCAGCCACAGGTTCCCCATGGTCCCTCGTCCACAGAGAGACTGCTGAAAATTCTGTGGCAACCTAAAAAACACATGGGGATCCCTGGCATTGTCAAGGAAGGTCTATCGTTGTATTTAGCAAAGAATACAACTTTATTATTTTAAAGTTAGACTTCACTGTGGAAAGAGATTTGCTACTTAAAGTTGTGATCCTTACAAAAGAAGCAACAATTAGGCAGAGACCCACATCTGTATCTACCCCAGCATTCATCAGGAGCACCTGATGAATATCAGGACTGTCTCTGTGTTCCTCCACAGTAATCTAGCTGTTTCAATAATCAGAGACAGGGCTAGCAGGCTGGCATGTGCTGAGGGTAGCAGTTGTTGGACCTGGTTACAATGCCAGCATTCAAAAGGAAGAATATGCCTATTTCTACTTGAAACCACAGTTGGTACCAAATGCTATGTGTACACTGCCATTCCTACGATGTGCTCAAGTAATGAGAAGTAGAGTAAGAGGGTAATGGAAGAGCATGCTAAGAAAATGAAGTAATCCAATCAAAGCACTCCAATGAAAGCTTTGTGTGTGAGGCCTTCTGTCATAGTATTCCGTATGCTGTGCTCACCTCCATTTGTGGCCTTGATGTCTGATGAGTCAATGACGGGGAAGAGATGTTGAGTAATTCTGGCATTGCCAAATCTAGACTAGATGGTACCTGCTGACAAGGAAGGGAGCACTCCACCATTTCCACTCAGTGTACAATTATGGACAGTTACTTGCACATAGGTAAATCTCAGAAGGGGTTTGCACTTCAGTTTTCTCTTCAGTAAGGACTCTAATCTATAACATGAAATATCAGCTTGGTAAAGCTCCCTTTCTCTTCTTTAACGTCCTCTGTAAGAATTTTCAAGTTAACAAAATACAGTTTCTAAACTGCAGTTAAATTTCCAAGATGGTATTTTCCTATAAAACGAGCAAAGGGTTGACAGATGTTCACATTCTCACAAACTATGTTTCGTGATTCTGTAACATCACTCTGTCCTGGGCTTGCATATAAAGAGTAAATTAATGGGCATGCCAGCTTCTGAGAGTGTCCTTTGTTTTTCCAATTAGGTGGATGCTCATGGGAATATCCTATTAACATCGCTGGAGGTTCACAATGAAATGAATGAGGTTGCAGGCAGTGTTGGTGACACCAGGAATTCAGCAATATCCTTTGACAACTCAGGAATCCAGTATAGGAAACAGAGCATGCCCAGGGAAGGGCATGGGCGGTACATGGGAGACAGAAGCATCCCGCACAAGAAGACCCAACTACGGAGGAGGTCTTCACAGCTCAAAATCAAAATCCCTGATCTAACCGATGTGAATGCCATAGACAGATGGTCCCGGATCGTGTTTCCATTCACCTTTTCTCTTTTCAATTTAGTTTACTGGCTGTACTATGTTAACTGAGTGACTGTACTTGATTTTTCAAAGACTTCATTTAACACTGAGTGAAATATTACCCTGCCTGTCAAGTTTTTATACCAGTACACACACACACACACACACACACACACACACACACATACACACACACACACAATTGTATATATATATGTGAACTTTCTCAACATATATATAAAATACACGTGTATATGAGGATGTATGTGTACATGTTTATATACGCAGGTTTGAGTATCTGTGTATGTAAAACAAATACACATACATACCATACATTTTGCAACTATGGACAATTTAACACAGGATGCATATTAAAGAAAGTTATAGGTTTTTTCTTTTTTAATTGAAAGGGACAAGTATCTAAATATTATGCCTCAAGAATGAGGGCGTGAAACACAGTCATCCCAAAGTCTGTCTTTTATTATCATAAGTTAGATATTTTCTCTTAAAAGCCAGAAAGGAATTCTTAGTTAATCTTTGGGAACTTCCACAGTGGTAGTTGTACACCTCACATCCTCTCTTTCAGTTTGCAGCCAAGGCTTGTTGGCTTCTATGTGATGGGCTTGTTTCATCAGGTATGCTTCTCTGTAATGAGTTAGTACACGAGGTGAATCTCTGGCAACACTATTACCTGATTCTTACTGGTAGGTAGTTCCCACACTCATGTCTGAATGTCCATCTCTTGACAACTCACTGAGAGTAAACAGTGTCCCATTGTAAGTACTCCACCGTCCCATATTCATGGGGGATTTCTGTTAACATTAAGTGGGTCCAGCTTAACTGTCTTGTGGGAACACTATGGCACATTTTAATAATGAAATTCAATCACTAAAAATGTGCTCTACATCTTGTCCAGATTTCTAGGTCCGCTATTTAACTGGAAGCATAGACGTCTCAGGTTCTTTGTTACTCTAAGGTAAAACCATCTAGAGTGATTTCCCCCTTGCAGTTATGTTACCATTCTTATAACATTGTATGTTAATATAAATATATTTGCATAATATGCATACATATGTATATTACCAAGATTTTGTTTCTTCTGCTTGCTATCATGGCAGCATGCAACGTCATATTTTTCATTCTGTGATGTAACTACTTTCTGTCATCTAGAAATTAAGATTGAATCTACAATGTTTCTACTGTTCACTTTTGAAAACTTAAGAAACATCCTCACAGCCTTTATTTCTGTACTGACATGTCTCATAAGCACACCCAACTCCTCCTAGACTGACTAGGATTCTGCAGGAACACGACCAGTACACACCACGATCATGCAACAACCCATGACCGTTCCTGAGGCAAGGAGGGCAACCTGACACAAACACAGTCTCTTTTGGTTCCTTCTGATCCACAGCCTCATCAGTATTTGGACTTTTTAAAGCTCGTAGAAACATGACAAGGTGCACCGGTTTCATAGACGCAACCTTAACTTACTATTTAGATGAGCTCTTTCTAAAGAAAAACAAAGATGATATATTTTTTGTAAACTATTTCTATCACAGGCATCCATAAACCGACTGCAGTTGTGGGAACAGGTGTCACAGTGAAGCATTTGGAAGACAGGATAAAAAGCAAAACATGCAGTAAAGAACTGCTAAATTAATAACTCCCAAATCCCACACATCCGTCACCCTCAAGTCTGGCACCATTGTTTACCACACACGCAGCACCACCACCCTCCCCAGGATGCATTTGGTGTGGACTGCCACCATGGACTGACACTCCTTGATTTTTTTGGTGGCCATAGCAATCTTTACTGTGTGGGAATCTGACTGTTCAAAACCCAGTATTAGATTAAAAACAAAGTTAACCCACAAAATCTCACATTAGGGACAGTTACTGAATTTTATGCCCTTTACCTCCTCCATTCTCCTCTACTGAGTCTTTTTCTGATGACTGCTCTTTGGCTTTATTTTCTACCTGGAGATGAGCCTGTGAATTTTGGCCTTTGGCTTTTCTCTGGAAATTTTCTTCTTCATGGGTAACAGTGGGAGGAGACAAAAAGTTAAACAGTTTTGGAAAAAAAAATCCTGTAAGTGGCCTTATCATTGTAACATGTTAAAGAAAAGCAAATGTTTGCAAAGACCTTATCCCTTTCAATACTTCAGGTATCTCTCCGTGTATCCTGTCACTCAAGGTATAAGTGCCACATGCAGAAGAGGGACCCCCAAATGTAAGCCATGTGGCAGAAGGAGTCAAGGACTGACAATTTATCATACTAAGAACTGCGACTTTTTTTCTTGGAGAAAAGTGACTCAAAACTTTTTTGAAGCATAGTTGAGCTACCCACATATCAGAGGCAGAGACTCCACGGGGCTCAGAAGAGCAGCAGTGAGCTCTCCTGGGAATCTCCGGATATAAATTTGCATGGTGTAGTCATAATAGCTTTTGAGCTTTTTATATGCATTTGGCACCAAGACTGGGATCCACAACTTTATAGACACTGCAATGAAGTTACCATAGTAGCTAGACTCTAAGTAGTATTTGTAATTACATGCAGACACACACATACACACACACACACACACACACACACTCACACACACACTCACACACACACACACACACACACACACGTACAGACACACACACACACACAGAAACGCACACATACATACAAATACATACATGTATTCTGTAAAAAAAAAAATCTGTTTTAAGATCCTTGGGTATGTGTTTGCTTTACTTCATTTCAGAAGAAAAGTACTTTTCTCCTAAGAAATTATTTTATGGCTTTTCTATTTTTTAAAGCTGTGAGAAGTGTTAAGATGAGAACTCAAGCTGTTCCAACAGAAGAGTGGGATCTAATCCCTGTTCTAGGAAAGTAACCTCTCATCATTTTATAGTAGCCATTTGAGCCAGTGAGTGAATGCACGGAGGTGTTCCATCAGGACCTCTCATGGGAGGTGGCTGTTACCCATGCCCAGAGCTCTTAAGAACAGAATCTTTAATTTCTCATCAACTCAATAAACCATTAATTCTCAGTAGTACTGTCTATCCAAACTGAAATGCTTCGCAGAGGGCTCGTGGTGTGGACGCCCTGATGACAGCCCTTCATTAGTCATTTTCAGAAATGTCTGTGACAACTCAAGAGCCCTCCTCCATTAGTCCCAGCAGAGAGACTGACCAGTGTAGAGTCATCTTTAAAACAAAAGTCATTCCTGCTTTGCTTACCAACCCAGGACTGTCGAGAGGTTGTGATGTCGATGCCATAACCCACTCATTGCCCCTGAATCTCAGATGAACTAGAAAGTATATCATAATACTACCCCAATTAGGCTTGAAGTGACATGTCCATATGCAGTATTGTGTGTTTTGATGCCAATGTGGGGACATCTTCAGCTGTTCTCACCGAAAGCACTTCTCTTCTTTTGAAACATGGAGTTGACAATATCACCAATGAGATGATCTCAGAGAAGACAGGCACATTGCAGTTGTAGGTGTTTGCCCCACATGAACACATTCTGAAAAGATGTGTCCAATTTTGAAATTCCTTACTAAAAGGCAGAAACCTACTATAATCCATATTTTAACCCTCCACCTAAAATGAGTTCATATTTCTGGCCATTTTCTCTAAGTCAACTGAACCACTGGTAAAATATTTTGTCACTCTTGGAAAGACTGCTGGCTTTCATGTCAGTGTGAACTTACCATCAGAATACCATTGACTCTTGGGGCAAAGAACAGCCCTGGTGGAGTAAATTTCCCAGGACACTGGTGAGTGTGCCTTGGACTGATTACCTCTTCTACTGCATTGAAAGGTGCCATGTTTTCCTGAATGACTAACCCTCCCTCCCCCTTGTAACAGTGACCTCCCAGAGTGGCTCATGCACCATACCTCTTCTAGGGATGGCCCACAAACATGTCATTCATGACTCATTTTTCTACTTCCCAAGTCAGTAGATGTGTTCAAGGTAAGTACAGGATTGTTCTAGTAGGAATAGGCGGTTGCTGTCCTAATTGATATCCACGTCGATTTCATTTCATTGTAAAGATAAACTTAAACCCGGTTTTGCTTAAGCACATTGATGTAATTTTTTGGTATTATTTGACGTGAAACAAACAGCAAAATTGAGTGACAGATACAATATGAAACTTGTTGAATGAATTCAAATTTATTAAAAAAGGACTAACTGACAAATGTGAGGACTGATTTTTTTTTCTCTTCCTTAACTCTCTGTTGTTGAGTGGTATGGTTATTTTAATCCAGCCTTGTTCAACTGCACATGTCCACTTGGGTTATGTGAAAATAAAAGGAATTTAAAGCCCCAAACTGGCTGCCTAAGAGAACAGTTGAACTGTTTCTTTTTAAAACTATAATAATTTAGCTTAAAATTTGTACATCAAAGAACAAATAGCCACACAAAGAGTAACCTGTTATGGTCTTCAAATGAGTCTTTTAAGAGGAGCACATTTTTATGTCAAAAGACAGGGAACAAGCTTTCCACATCTGGATAGCCACCCTTTGAGTTTTCAGCATCCTTAAGGAAATTTCCCTTGCTACTTTTCTAGCATGAAAGTGAGATAGTATCCTAGGATGAACAAATGAGTGAGTGAATGAATGAATAAATGAATGAATGAATGAATTCAGATTATGGACACTTTCATGCAGACAGAGGTTACTGAGAGCCCTGACTCCCTCCTGGGACCCAGAGGAGCTCATGATGCTTTTAGGCAGATACTGAGCAGCTGGTCTATATCCATGCCCAGCAACTTGTTAATGTAGTCAGAAATGATACAAGATCATTTTCATCCCTTGTTTTAGATATGTAAATGAGTGTTTTATTTCAGATCTTCTCTGGAGTCATGACTTGGTCATGCCTTAAACTAAGTTATCTGTGGTGAGAACATCTCTGTGGGAACATTTCTTACCTATGTCACTGAGCCAGTCCTGGTGACAAGCTTAAAAGACCAATAACTGGGTCTTAGAAGTACCTGTTTTGGTTACCAGAGGGTCCAGTGGCCACTGGGGAGCCTCGACCCAGACTATTCACCCCCCCACCCACTCCTGACAGTCTTCATTCACATGTGGTTGCTTCACAGTTCTTGCTTAGAATTCCTTACTTTGTAAAC